GGTCAAACCCTAACCATTATCAAACAAATACCTAACCCGGACCTAAACTTAATTCACTCCTTAGTCATAAACATAATCCAAAACCCAAAAAGAGAACTTCTCCTGATGGGGACCGTGACTGGTCTCAAGTACCTGGAAGATCCCAAAATGTAGCATATTTCTAGAAAATTGTCCCCACAGGGTAACAAAAACATGGCCACACACAAAGTGTATCAAGCAAAGAAAAAACATTTATTTAGATGAAAATATTAAGTTAAGTAAACAACAGGAAAAAAAACAGGGATATTTTCTGGTTTGGCCATAGGCTTTATCTCACAGGGACATTAGGGACACATAAAGCACATAATGTTTTCTAGTGTGAAATAATTTTCTTCTTTCTTTTGAGTTTTTTCTTTATAACAGACAGTTATCTAACCAGCACTTTACTGCTTCTTAGGAAGCTGGATTAAAAATATATACTAGTAGGTAATGTTGATTTGGCCATAAAAATATAATTAAAGGCTTTCCTGTGAGGTTTAAATAGTAAACACAGACAAGCATATGGAAATATTTAATAAAGTCACAGTTGAAAGTAGCCCCTCTATAAAGTTTTAAAAGGTACTTTATATATTGTTCCTAACACTAAGTTGATCTTTCCTATTTGAGCTATGCTAAAATAATTCATTAAAAACTCTAAGTTCTCAGTTAGTGTCTGTTGTTTAGGGCATGGTTATCACTAAGTGCATTATTTGAAATTGCAGCATACGCATGATTAGATAACTTTTTATCTTAATAAAAACTTAAACTTCAGTATGTTGAAAAAAACTCCTAACGAATGAACTTAAGACCAATCAATAAGCTGTGATCATGTCCTGCAGTATTAATATTTAATTCAGGACAAAACTTAAACAAAACAGTAATCGATATTGAAGGAAAATTGTGTTTAGAACAAATGTATGAATAAAACTTTTATTGTTAAAGTTTTTTTCTTGTTGGTAAGTATAAACTGAAAGGTATAGTGGAGGATGTTCTTTTTTCCGAGTGGATCATCAAAATAAGTGGTCCTCCTAATTGTCAATCATTCTGGTGATATGTTTATGTAAGGCCGTCCTACGTGCTTGTCCCTATTTTCACTTACTTGTGGTGAGTCTGACATAGTGGAAAAATTCCAAATCTTCTTTAGGAAGGTAACCTTGTATGAGCAATGCAAATAGCCACTTTTAAACAGAGCGTGATCAAGGGAAGCTCTTGCACGCATTTAATAGGCGTTCCTCCTCAGTAGTGGGCACAGGGTTGTGCATGTGCATTTTTTTTTAAGTGTAGAGGGCAGATCTTTCCAAAAATTCAGAAAAATCCTCCTTTATACCTTTAAGCTGGTTAAAAGTTTTAAAAAATGTACATTAATCTCCACTGTAAGATGCATCTACTTATTGTGGTTTAAACAATAGTCCACCAGGAGGCCCTGCAGGAGGGGGAAAACCTTTTCATTTCACAGTATGCCTCTGTTATCATTTCACTGCAGTCTAGAAGTATAACTTGATTTAGTCCCTATAACCTCACACCTTTAACAGGTTTCCTGTCACCTATGGCATCTGAGTTAGACAGATGATAATTCTCCCCTACACACAAACAGACACACACACATCTGTACCTATTTTCTTGCTGTTACTTCAACTTTTACACCTGCTGAACCCCACCAGTGGCAATGAAATAAAACAAAGTAACTGTGGTCCTTGGGTGCTAAATATCAACACACAGTGCTAGCTAACCTTCTTCTCCATATTGTGACGCTTTCCCTCCATGCTTCTAAATTGCTGGTGTAAACTGCTCCGGCCAGAGGGGTAATAGTTTTTGATAATGATCACAGGCCAGGCTTTGCTGCTGTGTGGCCACATGCCGCACAGACAGCATGCTGATTATTCTTCTGAAGTGGCCTATGTGTGCGTGTGTGTGTCTGTAACGGCAATTTCCAGGCCTGATTGGCAAAGAGCGATGAAATTGGGGGCAGTTAGCACCAAGGGGGGAAATACTGATGGAGTGTGTCGAAATTCAGCAGCCGTCTGATGGTAAACAAATTATCCGAAGTGAAATGACAACATTAGGCAAAGTAAAGTGTTGGTCCACTCTATGGGTTTGGCTCTCTGCTCATTTTTTTTACTGTCTGCTGTTCTTTTTACTGAACTTTGACGAGCTGATTTTCAAAGATCTATGACCTAAATCCTGGCCATTTCATCAAACCTGGCAGGTGGAATTAATTTTAGAATCCAGCTGGCCGCCTAAAGAAAAAGACATAACATATGTACCTACAAGGTCCCAGAAATCACTTAAGTTGTTCAGATCTTAGAATACTAATAATTGTTTCCCCTTGTTTTGATTTTGCTGACAGGTTTGTGTTTTGCATTTTATCTGGATTGATAAAAAAAAAATGACTGCCAATGGCATAAATTGGACTTCTGACAGCTTTTAGGGATTCTCTTAAGAATTTTTTGTGGGAGCCTTGCTTTTCTAAAAGCAAAGTAATTGTTTCATAATCACTTCTGACAAAACTGCCTAATTTTGTATATCTGAAGGGATAAAGAAAGTAAATTTTTTTGCATCTGTTATAAATCTTTTCAAAGCAAGGAGTTTAATCTTATTTGTTATACTTGTCGTGTAGGTCTAAGCCGAGTCCTAATGGTGTCTGATGTTTACTTTCCCACTCCCCAGAAATACCACAGGGATGCCTTATGCCTCAAGTCACAGATAAGGAGAATATGACTCTGTTCTTTCTGCCGTCTTATTTAAAAAAGTCATATGTAACAAAATAGCATTTTTACCTGTTAAAGTCATTTGTGCTGCTGCTTTGGTTAATATACATTTGTCATGTTGTAATGAGGGGTCAGATTGCTTTTCCTCTGTTATGTGCCAGGTCTTTCGATGAATAAAAAATGGACAAATTAGGTGATCATTTTTTGTTTTGTTTTATTCGTTGGTGGGTGGAGGGAGCTTTGCCGTTAAAATCTGACAGATGTGACAGAGATTTATTCAGCAGACAAGATAGAAAGATGGATGAATGTTGCAATCTTAATGTAAAAACCCATACGTGTCACTCTGCTTCTCCGCCGTCGCCTCTCTGTGAGGACACTGTTGTGCCAAAAAACCCAGCCAGCCTTGAAATTGAATTAACAAGACTAATTTGAACTAATTATGTTTCAAGTACAAATTCTTGTTAGGTGACTCTGACTGTCTCCCCTTATTGCATTTTAAGAACCTTTGTGGAGACATTTAGGAATTTAAGCAAAGAACAAAAAGTGTATATGAGTACCCAATTTACTCACGTTGGCATGTAAGTTAAGTTTTAGCCCTCTGTTTCGCATGCTAGATTGTATTGTACTGGCAAAAGCTCTTCACAGAGAAAAGGCATGAAAACATACAAAGGCTGTCTAGGTTTTAAGGCTATAGTCTAAGCTAGCTGCTTTAAGCCAGCATACATTTTATATCTATAGTGTTTTTACCATGGAGGAAAATCTCAGGCCACAATGTGATCAGAAGCCTTTTTTTAGAGAATATTTCATGTTTTTCAAAGTGTGGTGGTTTATGAAAAATAAAATGGGAAACTTTTCAAGTTACTGAGTTTCACTGAAAGAATGAATTTGGATGGCATGTTGAAAACACGTGTAGGGCTGTGGTTCAGTAGGAAAAGTCATTTTATTTCTATTTGAAGTTTGTCAGTTCAGTTTCAGCTTCTACTGGTCAAACAGTACCTACATTGATGTCTCTTTGGGGATGTCACTTAAAGCCAAGTTTCTCAATCTGGACATGGATAAGTATGTGCTTGTTAGTGAATGCAATATATTATATATATTATAGAGTGCATTGTGTGGTCATTATGACCCAAATATGTACTGCATAAATTCAGGCCACGTAAATTTAGGAGTTTGTTTAAGCACCTTTGTGTGTTACCCCCATAGTGACATTCAGTGCAATAAGGTTTCATTTTTCAAAGCTCATCAAAAAACATTTTACATAACAGAGTAAATCAGATTGCCCTGTAAAAAAAAAATGGGTTGTCTCTACTTCAATGTACTGATTTGCACTGCATCTAAAGGCCTTGGTTATATTTTTACTTTTATTTCAAGGAAGCAGACTCTTGTCGTACTTGTAGGTCAAAAGAAATATCGGAATCTCTTCTGCAGAGATGAACACTCCCATGTGTGTTAGCTAACTAGTGGCTTATACAGCACTAAACAACCGTAAATAAAGAATATGCCCTTTAAGTGTCTGGGTGAATGAATGTGTTTGAATGCAGGCTTCAGTTAACATTCGGATTGCTAAAGTAGAAACCAGCACTCCTGTGTACCCTTTATTCTGACTACCCCCGAATCCTCCACCCCAAACACTCATGCATAAACACGAGCACACACACTCAACCCTTTACTTTTGCTTTACCCGCTTCCCCATTAACACACCTCTAATGGAGTTCACTCCACTGTGCTTTCTGCCTGAACACGCTGTGGAGCAGTACAGTTAATAGCAGCTGCACAGTTGGAATACATGGGTGTGAGTTCAGCTTAATGTATGCCGGTGGAGTGGCGTTGGCAGACGAGATTGTGTTATCCACTGCGGTGTGTATGGGCCAAGCCCATCTGCATGGTGACATCCTGCATAAATGAACCAAGCTGAGCTATGATAGCTGTCTCTTAGCCTTTACTTTAATCCTACTGCTCCACTCACATGCAAAAACAGAAACTTGTCTTTGTGTCATGAATACTGAAATCATGTGGCACATCAAGCCACCATTTAAGGCTCAGGTAACAAGCATTTTAGAAAGGGGTTTGACTGATATTGGTGAAAATGGGAATATGAAGCACTTTGTTTAAATTTGTCTTCTTCACTCAGGGTTTAAAAGATTGAAGACATCACTTACGCTGCTTCTAGTTGTTAAACATTCTGTTCCCTAATGTCTCGATTAGTTAAAAAATGATATAATATTTTTTAAGCTGGTAAAATTCAAACCTCTCTTCTCTTTCTCTTTTGTAAAGGGGTGGAGGCTATGTTTTCCCAGCAGCCTCAGGACCTGGTGGTGGTGGCGGGCCAGCCAGTGACATTACCATGCACCATCCCTGGATACCATGGAGTTGTTCTGTGGATCAAAGATGGACTGGCACTGGGAGTTGGCAGAGACCTCTCTGGTATGAAACTTGATATTTATTGCTTTCATTTTTGGAAAAACAACCTGCATTTAGCCATCATTGTTTTTAACTCAATAAACCAGTCGCCTAAATAAGTAATCTATTTTTTAAAAAGAGTTCACATGTCTAGTTTAATTTTGGTATGAATACTGTCATTTTGTGAATAATTCCAAGGTTTAGCAGATACATTATTATGAGGATTATGAGCATTTTATGATTAGAATGAGGAACTACTAATGCAAGTCATAGATAATTTAAGAAAATTTAAACCAGGTTTGGATATAATACCATGTATAAACCTCATATCTCCCAAAGCATTCTCTAAACTACTATGTGTTACTGGAATGGCACAACTACAAAAAACTATAAATGTATCCACCAATATTTACAGGCCAGGCATACAGAGTATCTATCAGAAAGGCTCATATTAATTTGAGATGAGATGCAAGGAGCAGTGGCTCAGGTGGAAAAATCTCTTGGCAAGGTTATCATTAATGTTTTTATATTTAAATGTAGAACTCTATAAGCCTTGTCTTTGTGGAAATGTAGTGAGAACAATGCCCTTTTGGAAGGAAGAAATCTATTAGATATCCTGTTTAATGTTTGACACCAGCTATATAGTGGACCCAGAAAGCATCTAGTGCCCAGGTCATATTGGTTATTTTTTCTTTTCTTTCCTAAAGACAAAGACAATTGTGGATGAAAAAAATTGTGCATCACATTCCACACCGTCCTCACATGGAAATGGTAAAAAACCCAATTCTGGACCACTTCCAAAATCCAAACAAAGAGGTCAGCAAAAAAACTAAGCAAGTGACTAAGCAAGGCATAAATGAAACTTCCTGTACAACCTGATGAACAAAACAGCCCAAAGAAATTCAGGAAAATTTGAGTTCAGTCCTTGCCTGCTGATTCAGGCTGCTAAATGGCATTTTGAAAAGTAGCTCCACTTAATTACATTACATGTCATTTATAATTGTCTTAATTGTTTAATTGGAAGCAAAAGGACTAGTGTGCTGTCATTTAGTAACCTGTCGACCTATCCATTGTAGCTTAATGTGCAAAGGCTGATTCATTAAAGTAGAATCTACCAAGCTTTTGAAGATGAAAAATATGTTCACCTCAATTATTAAATTCACTCAAAACATTTATCCATTTGTATCTGCACTTATCACCCAGTATTATTCTATCAACACATCCTTTTCATATTTGAGCTCAACAATTGCTTCACACTCCTCCACACTGTAACTACTGGCCGTAATTACAAAGCATTGCACAATGACTCAATATTAAGCTGTGGCCATTTTTACATCCAAAATATTCTGGTTATTGAACTTCAGATGCAATAGAGATTGGGAGTTTTTTACAATTTGACCTTTAGCAAACATTTCTCCCTCATAGATAAGGTGTGTGATTAAACCTCAGAGACTGACAGAGCCACAGTAAAGCCATCCTATTCTTTCTTCATGTCTTTATCAGTCGCCCTGTGGGGAGACTGAGAGGTGGCTGTAAACAATAGTCCTGCAGCCATCAAGTCTCCTTTGGAGGAAGAAGATGCAGGCGGGGAACGTTCTTATGATTGTTTGAGATAGAAAGAATAGGGAGTGGGACTATAAGGTAGACGGAGACAGAGAGAGAAAGTGTAGAGGAAGATTTTTGTATGGGCACAGAGCTGAGGAGAAATGTTTATCCTCTTCAGTTTTTATTGATTTAACAGGACAAAATGATCACGATGGAATCTCATTTTCACAGCAGGGAAGGTATGAGGAAGTAATAAAAAAGCAAAAATGGAGAACATTGGGTCCTCACACTTATGGGAACTATGTTGGATCAGCCTTTAATAAAACAATCTGTGAATAGCATAAAACTCATTGACAAGAAAAAGTATTCATTGCCCTCCCCTCAACTGTGTTCTCCTTCAAAAGTAAATGATTTGGGGGAAAAATTTGTAGTTTTGATAAAAGGGAAGGATTTGCGCGACAAAAATAGCCGCCAGACCAGAGAAGAAAGGTTTTCTAAAATCACCAATATGTTTCAGACAGGGGGCTGAGTGCCTTCTATTGAGACAGATGACACTTTTTCAAAATAAAGCACTCCACAGCTGTCCTTCTTTATCACTCTTGCCTACCTAAACACGGCACGCATGCAGCAGTAAAAGAGAAATGGTACATAGTTGGGGAGATGCACACAATGAAAGGAAAGTGGCAGCTGTATACGTAAAAAGTGCAACGAATCAAATGTCGCATGGAGCATTTCAATAATATAGGTCTGCTCGGCTATTCATAGAAAGAAGCTGCGTTGGCAGCATCCTCCGCCTGGGACCTGTTTCCATTCACAGGAGCAGTGATTAAACTGAGAGAACTCTTTCACCATTCAGAGCGAGAAATCACAGCACAAAAGCCAATGATTCCTATCTGTCTCTGAATTTCCTCTTCATTCCTCTTTGTGCCATGCTTTTCCACTCTAATTAAAGAAAAGTGAAGTAGCCCCACAGCAGCTCAACATACCAATCAATTTTATGAATATGCATGAACTAGAGAGTACCTGCTACACATGATGGTGGTGACAACAGACATGGCAGATATTATGATAGTTCAAAGGAAAATTTAGGTGTCTGTGCATTTTTCAAAGTGAGACCAAACAAGAACTTCTTGGAAGAAAACCTATGGAGAAGCTAGTGTCAGCCCTTCCTCTCCAGATAGCAAAGTGAACATTGGTCACCTCTTTGCTGCTGCAGCAAAACCTATTTCGATTCCCTGGTGATTACACAGTGTGAAACGGGCACCAGGTGAATGCTACAAATCACAAGATCAACCCTCAAGTGTCTTCATAGCTACATGAACACACATGCACATACTCATTGATTCACCCTCAAGACAAATCCATTTCTCTCTGATGGATTCATTACTCCTTAATGGGCCTATTTTACATTGTTTGCTTTGGGTAACACATTGTGTGTTTGAAATGTGCTGAGATCCAAGATCAATGGTCCTTTATAGGTGCACGCGACATCTGCAGAGGTGATCAGTCTTCATGTGTGCCACGGTGTAATTTCAATCACATTGACAAAATGCATAATCAGGATTCTTATAAGGTGGCAAAACACATTAGGACGTTTCAATTCTCTGAAAATGAGATGATAACATCCTTATCATTTACTATCCATCACGTTTGCAAATGATTTTTTTTTTGTTTGGATCCGGTTAATGCATAAAGATGAAACTGGAAGAAGGCCATGTGTCAACACAGCAATATTACTCTTAGTATGCCAGAACCACAGATGAGGTAACTGGCATGGTAATCTATTTGTGTTACAGAAATCTGCATGGCTTATGTGGAGCTCCGATTAAGACAAGCCAAACAAAGCGTGTGTGAAGTTCATTCCCTCTTTGGAGGATGCAGTTAACTCAAGGCTGTTCGTCCAGAGTCAGCTCAAGTTCAGATCATAAAGAGTTGTGCAATGATCATTACCCTCCTGATCTGCAGTGGTATTACTGGCTTGAATTTCATCAGTGAACATAAAGACTAAAGCAAAATCTCTTTCTGGCTGACTTTGTGCTTGGAATGTTTCCTATTTTTCTTCAGACACTGTCGTTAACTTGAAAGAGCTGTTGATAATGAAGAAAATGTAGTGTAAGATCAATCTTGGGTAAAATACCAAGTGTAAGAATATTTCAATCTGAAAAACTCACACAAAGAGAAAAGACAATTAGAAGAAATTTATTGATACAATTACTTTGTCTTTGGTGCACAGACCTCGGCCAGAAACATAGCGTTTAATTTGATAGATATGCCTGAACAGGAGCAAAGAATAGGGCTGTCCACCCCCCTCCCCCCCAGGCCTGAAACTGGTGGTGGAGTGGAGATAGAGGAAGTTGGTCAGTCTGTAGACTGTTGATTAGCGAGACGATATGCTGAGCTTTATGGGGAGATCCGGTGGACTGTGTGAGCTGATACTAGAGCTTCACTCAGGGACCTGGAAGATGGAAGTCCAGTTGGATAAGACAGGTTGAGAGAACCTGTCCATGATGAGAAAGCATGAAACGACAGTGGAGAGGAAAAACTCCCCAGAAGAAACCTCTGGCAGAATCTGGCTCAACATTGCTGTCTTCTGCTGGACCAGTTGAAATGAGACGCGGAATGCAATAAGAGTCCGGGAGGAATGAAACCCTGATGAAGCTTTAGCAAAGATGGTGGAGGAGGGGCTGCAGGTGGGTTGAAACAGGGTCATCTGAATGAAGTCAGACAGCACAACCACCGCCTGCACACAGGAGCAGGCAAGTTGTGGATCGGAGGCCTTTTAAGATGAATTTTGGGTGCCAATTGGCTTTCGTGGAGGTGTGGTTCAAAGCTGATTGGCTGTGTCGCAGGTGGATGTCAGAGAGCAATCAGTTTCTTCAGTTGAACTTTCGCCTAGGCTCCATTATCACAAATGTAAAAAAAAAAAAAAAAAAAAAAAAATGGTTTAATTTAAGATGTTTCTAGGAAAACAAAGTTTCTGTGTTTTATTGATATAGAGTTTATAAAGAAATATTGGGATGACAAGTCAAAGGGCTACTGAGGTAACCAGCCTTTAGTCGGATATTCCGCCCTAAGCTTGCCAAGAAATGTGTAAGAGCTAAAAGAGATAAAACACTGTTATTTAAGCAGGAAACAGAATAACAGTGTCATTGGTTACAGTTCTGCTACTAGTAGTTTAAATATGTCATATTACAGAATTAAAAGAAAAGGCAGGCTCGGTGGTAGAGAGGAACAGAGACAAGACATGGTACCAGGATAACTGCAGAACTTTAAACTGTACTCTTCCCAGAAGTCAGGATCACGGGAATGAAAACTGGTCTCCCCTGTACACCAAGACAAAACTCTGAGGGCTCTGTGGAGAAGAGCTGGGACACTATCAGGAGACAGGAGACAAACCCTCTCAATCGACTGGCCTCCAGGGACGGGAACATGGACCAAGGACTTAAAACTAAACTCATAAAGAAACAAACATGAACTAGCATAAATACATCAAACGAAAAATGATGTGGCCCTGAAAGCTGGGCTGAACCCCATATAATGCAGCGGAAGCAGGCAAATAAGATCAATGATAATTAGAGCACAGGGAGAGAGCGGCAGGTGAATGAAGTGAGTAGTTAGATCAGCTACCGGGCTGCAATCATGACATAGTGCCTCCTTTGTGGCCATAATGAACAGGGGCATTTTTGCGTGTTATTTTGCAACAGATTTTCAGAAGTAATAGAAAAGACAAAACTGTAGCTGTATTTGAGTTTCACTTTTGGAAATGTCTTTACACATATAGCATATGTACATTGCTTAAGTTCCCAACATGAATTTTGTTTGTTAGAATATTATCTGCATATTGATGAAGGTACACATGCAAAAAAAATAAACAAAAAAAGTTTGCACACGCTGTCTTCTGAATTGTAAAAGCAAATCACTGCACCTTTGTCAATCTCTACTCTATGCCTTTAAACATGTTTGGACCTGCTGTAAGATGTGCAAACCTTCTGAACACAAAGACCATATTATTTTGTCCTATGAAGATTAGAATCTTAGTGTAATTTGTTTTAAATAGGGCATTCGCTTTTAATTTGCACACATTCTGCTTGATCCAGAGATGTCTCTGACTAGAGGTTGGCCTTCATGGGCTGAGAATTTAGAATTGTTATTCTAACTCTCTTTTAAAAGTACTCTGTTATCGATATGGAATAACCATATAATGAAAGTGCTTCTCTGGGTACCTTTACTCTCTATACAAAAACTGTCAATTTTCAAAAGCAGAATTCGTTGTTTATTTGTATCTTTTTAAAGGAATGAATTTAATAGATTACTTTCAGCTAACTGACTTGAAGTATGTATAAATGGGTAAAAGAAAGGCAGCATAGCCTTACTCTATGATCAATACAGCCAAAAACAAATTCCAGTCAGCCATGTACTTTCTCTGACAACAAAACGTTTAGACTTTTTAAACCATAAAGTTTAAAAGCCTTTGTATAGAATGATTTTCCATACTCAGTCAGTTATTATTACTATATTATATGGCTGTCATTGGATTCTAGCTTGAGTCAAAACATCACCTAAAGGATCCTTGATCTACGCTCATTTAATCTCATACTGCAGCTTATATTTCCCTTCCTCTGTTTACCTACTCGCTTGGTTCAATATTTATGTTGAGTTGTTCTTTTGTCCTTCGTCTTCCTACTGTATAGACCCTTAAGATTAAAGGCTTCACGTAGGAGGATGAAATGCACAGAGTGGCTTAATCGGCTGTAACTCACCCCACCAGCCTATAATGAGACCCACTTCATGCTCTATTAAAAGCTGCTGGATTCAATGAAGCCAAATTCAGTAATTGGACATAGAGCATATGATGGGTTTTGCCGTAGACACTTCCATGAACTTAATAACTGTTATACCACTGCCCACTCTATCTGGGAGCTAAAACAGAAAATCACTAAAGGCCTGGAGTTTTGAGGAATGTCCAAGGTGACCCTAGGTTAGAAAAAATCAATATGTTGCCCCCTTATTACTTTTGCCCTTAAGTATCTGTATAACCTTACACAGCTGGGCAAAAACAAAAAGATTTCTGTTAAAGGTGATTGACGAGTGAAAATGAAGAGAGGCGAAAGTCTGGAGTTTTGTTTCTCTGAACAAAGTCTAAAGTTTGAATGGGTTGAGGCTTTGTGAACGGCCTGGCCTTGTGTTCCGTGGGAAAAAAATGCTCTAATTCTCTGGTTTTATCATCAATCAATTACAGAAGGACAGTTAGAAGAAAAAGCCTCACTCAGTTTGAAATTCTTCTCATTTTCTGAAGTACAATATTTATGAACATAAATTCTCCTTGCGTTCCTCAAATTCTACCCATAGTAATCATTATGAGGAAGGTAAAAAAAAGAAATAGCAGAAAGATCTTGAGGGATGAAACATTTGGAAAAAAATGTTAGATACCCCACAGTGCACTCAGGTTAAACAAATGTATTTTTGAGCTTATTTACCCCTGTGGAGACATACACTTCTCAACACATGGGCTATGCAAATTTTTATATTAGTTTAAGGGAATATCTTCAAAACCATCCATCTTGACACCCCGGGAGTCTTGGATATTCCTCTGCTTTCTTCTTCTGTTATTAAACTGTAAATCATTTCACAGAGCAATCTTGAAACAACTAGAACCAGAGCTGCTCCAGTTTACTGTTGCAGTAAAACCTGGTTCTTCACGATGAAGCAAATTTCACAGTAGCTCATTCACACTGCCAGGAGTGCTATAAAAATGTATTGTGAGTAAATTACCAAATGAACAATCTAGTCACATAAACTCACAAAGTAATCTATTCCTCACCTCCCTTTAAATTATCTGCTTTTACAACTCAGTTAATGTCTTTATGCTGGTGCTGTGCAATGCAGTTTGGAAAGAGTTGTTTTTTGTGACATGAGAAGTGAATAAAAAAACAGAAATTTACTCATTTGCTTTTGGCAGATGAGCAGTATTTTCACTCTGGAGGTGATGTAAAACAAGCAAATTGTTTGCATTGCAGGCTATCCGCGTTACACAGTGATTGGTGACCATGGCTCAGGGGAGCATCATTTACGCATCCAGCGTGTCGAGCTGATGGACGACGCTGTGTTTGAGTGCCAGGCCGTCCAGGCTGCCATGAGGTCCCGTCCTGCTCGGCTCACTGTGCTGGGTAAGTCAAATCTAAGCACACTTGGTAGCCATTTAACAATACAGCTGTAGAAGAGCCAAGATGAGCTGGCCAAGCTCATGGATAACTAATGGCCTAAAAGTATCTTCATCATTTTGTAATGATTTTCTAAAATGTATTGGTTCCAGTACTGAATAAACATGTCTGTGATTAGTAAAAAAGGATGGTGAGCCTGAAATAATGCCCGGGCAATATTTGTCTTTTGTTGATGAGATAAGGCTGCAGGCCTAACCATTCTAGGAGCGAAACCCTTTTGAAACCCGTCTGTTCTCTCAGAGCATTTCCCAAGCAAAGATATACAATATCTAGAATAGGGCGCTTTCTCTTCATGCACTTAATTTCCCTTAACCTCCATGTTTATCTAGGGTGTTTCAGAGTCTATTTTCTCTGTCAGTAGTGAAACTAGAATGGCTGTGTAAATATCCTCCTTGAAATTCTGAATTCCTTTGCTTTTGTCGTTCAAGTGTTGTATTTAGTGGTGGTCATGAAATCGTAATACAGCATATTTAATGATGAAAAGATAAATAATGGTTTTATCACAATATTCATACTATTCGATTTATTTGAATTCACCCAAATGGCCATTAAAAGGTTTATTTATAACAAATTTCTTTAAGATTTCCCAAGCAAAGATTAAAAAGCAAAAGAAAAACACTAAACAAAGGGCTATTATCAGTTATTAGGCTTTAAAACAAATACCCATGGATTTTTTTCAGAGTGATCAAGTGTAACAAAACTAAAAACACTTTGGGAACATTCAATGTCTATAACAGCCACAAACCTTTTAAACGTTTTAAGCTTGCACAATGTATTTCAAATGAGCATAAAAACCTGAAATGATCTGTTAATAAAACTATACCGAGTAGATCACGATAACACTTTTTCTTTTGTGTTGCAAGTTTTAACATAGGTTATCTGCCTGTATCCTGATAAAAACAGTGCAAACAGACAATGAAAAAAATCTACTCTCGCTCCCTGAAAGGTTACTGTAGTCAAATTCTACTTTGATCCTTCTACAGTAGTCAGGTCTAGCGGTATCCCATGGTCTCATCCCAGTGGGATATGCAAGGGAAATCTCCAAAGGGAAGGGGCCAGCAGTGTCTAAACCTGAAATTCATTTAGCAACTCCAACTATAAGCTTTATTAAAAGAAAATAAAATAAAAAAGATGGGGGAAATAGACTATATTGGAGAAAGGTTGTAATTTTTTTCCCAGTTATATGCCTTTTTACATTTTATAGGCGCATAAAGGTTTCTCCAACATTCATATTTGCACGCTGGGTTGGCTGTAAACTGGCTTTAACTCTCCCTTAGATGTATGTGAACAAGTGTGTGAATCCAAGATTATTAGACATAATAACATCTCCACAAATACCATGATCACATCCAATGAATGCTGGGTTCCAGTGAAGTCTTGAATAAAACCTTTATTGTTATACAAACGTGGAAAATCGCTCATCTGGTTAAAAATAATTATTTTATTTTTTTTCACCACCATCACTGGCATTTTGGAACATATTTGAAGAATCTTCACAAAATGAGCTGTCATTAAAACAGTCATAAGATAAATCTATGAGACACCTGTTAGGACATTTCACCCTATTAAAAATTTGTGTTTTAATTTCTTTGCATTTATGAAGTATCCATTTTTAAAATCACTTCAAGCTGGAGGGTTCACCAAGTATTAATTTACTTTTAGTGGGGTACCACCGAGGGTTGCCATGTCTGTCTTATTGAGTAATACTCCAAAGCACCTTCGAGCTTCCTGCTGCCTGATACAAATCTCCCTGACTGAATGGTTGCTGGGGAAATAGTTTGGTCCATAACAGAGTAAAGAGAAGAAGAGAAAGAATGAATAAAAAGAGAAGGGGAGACTGAGCAGGGTTGTCTGCCACGCATTCCACACCGTCAGCCACTGATCCACCTTATTGATTCAGCCTAATGAAAAGTGAAACTAACGATTTGTAGGAGAGCAGGAAGCAACGAAGAGAGGAAAAGAGAAGACAAAGTGCAGCGTAACTTTCTGCGGTTGGAGAGTGCACCTAACAAATGGATATAAGTGATTGTGCTTTGTTTCTAAAACATAGAAGTGTCTGTTGTGGCTGAACTTTGCACTTGTGACTTCAGTATAGTGTCACTTCCTTATGACATATTTCAGCCTTTAATCTTCTACTTTTTGAACATCAGGGGCAGAAACAAAAATGATTTTTAATTTAGTTTCAATCCTAACTTGATAAAGGGTAATTGCCTAATGATTTGATGAAATTAGGTAAGAGATTATATTTCATGAGGTGGCATTAAAGCTTCGCTCTTTTCTACCAAAGCTTTAAACCCATTAAGATATCTTTGAGAATTTCAGGCAATAATATATATACATATATCATGTGTTTGCAAACGTAGTTTTAATATTTATAGAGTTTTGTTTTGCTTTTGTTGTGTTGTTTTCGGTTTATTTGTGTGAATATGTCACTTTTCTGTTTGTTTTTTCTTTGTTTTTCTTATTGTAAAATTCATCTAACTCCTTTTTCTTAGATTGTGTCCGAAAATGCTTTAAATAACAAAATTTGTCTTATTTTTTGTAATTCATTAAATTAAATCCCTGGAATAACTATTAGTTATCACATCTAAGACACCTTTTATCAGATCATGGATGCAAATTATTAAAAAGCTAAAATTCATGTAAATTTGTTTTTTCCTTTTTGTTGGAAAAGTCTTACTCTAACACTAAGTGTATTCAATAAAACATCTTACTCACAAGACACCATGATACAATAAATATTGTTTACTACATTGAAGAAGATATTTAACGATTTATATGTATAAAACAAATAAAAAACAAATAGATAACCGTTACCTATTCATAATAATGTTTCATTAGTGCTTCTGCTGCAGTTTTCTAAGCTTAACTACTAAGGTGGATCTCATGCCTTAAAAGTGTTGAAAACAATGGGGTTTTCCAACTACAATACTCCAGTGTTCAATATTTCTGCTAATGTTTGACAGAACAGTTTAGATTTTAGATTAGAGATGATTGAAGGCTAACCAGAGAACCTAAGTTTAGGTTCAGGAAGATTTTGCAAAATGAATGCTTTAGCGCCATTTTCTGGTTGCCATATCCTCACAAGTTTCACACCCTCTGTAACCTGTTTTTGATTGGCTTAACATTTCCCAATATGAACATAAAAAAACAAATTACAAAAGCTAACTGACTGTAAGCATTCTTTATTAGACAGTAGTAGTATTGTAGTGGTTTTGTGCCAGTTTGCTTTATTGTGTTCAGGGTATTTTTTTGAATAATAAGGTTTAACTGCAGCAATGTAGGATAACAGAATAATTGTGTTTGGAATCTTTTTTTTTATAATAAGAACCATTTATTTGTGTTAAATTAAGTCTTTTCACTGTACCGATGATCTACTTCTTTTAGGGACTTATTCTTTCTCTCCTTTGGGGTTTATTGGTGTTTGGCAAACCAACTTTAATTCACAATATTACAACCAACTGAGTCTGGAGCAGGAGATTAAACATAAAAGAAAGAACAACAAAAAACACCAACAATGGATTCTTTTATCAACATTACTTTCTTTTAAGCAGCATCCCCTGGTGTACCCGTGTACCTGGCTCCACTTCCTTCATTTGCATCAATCCACATTAAATCCCCACCGTAAGCTGTTATTTACCTATTTGCAGAAGAAAAAAAAAGACTATTTCACAGATCTTTAAATTTCATTATGCCAACTTAGAGAGACAGTTTTCTGTACACATGGTAGCAATGAGAAATTGCATTTTATTTATTTTTTCTGCCTTTCTCTGTTGCTTTACCGAGGTAGTTTATCATCCCCTCCCAAAAGGTAGAATGGAGGGTGTTTGTTTAATCCTCTGCCAAGCTAGATGACTTCTGAAAACACTGCCAAAGAAGGAGAACTCCAGGCTGACGTATACGAAAGGTAATGGAGGAAATGTATGCAAGTACAGTGTCAACGCAAACTCCAAGCTGTCAATTACTTGCCAGTGTGTGACAGTGTTTCTACTGACTGGGAAGATGGCTATAGCAACACACACCTACATAATGGTCACACACTCATAGAAAACCACAGGAAGATATTCACACAGGACACACGGCCTTTAGGTTTACCAGCACTTACTTTCACTCACACACACATACACACACACCTACACACACAAAAGACTTAGCTTTTCCTTACCTGACAGCAGAATAAATCTACAGTAAAACTCTCCCCTGCATCTTTCATAACTCAATATCCACCCAAATCCCTCTGTGTGCCATATCAGAGGAAGCTCTCTTCACTGATTTGATAAGATTGGAAATAACAAAAAAAAAAGAAATATTTGCTCCCACAATGTTCATGTAATAGTTTTCTTATGTGTCTTTTTTTCAGTTTTCTACTCTTCACCTTAACACTAAGCTATCGCGTTTGAAAGACAAGCAATTCAGTGAAGGGAAATGTTCAGGACCCAGTTGACCCATCCAATTCCAAGGAAATATGGCATATGGCTTTATTAAACCCTCACCCACTGCACCCAGCTGTCAATGAAGGAAGAGAAAGGGGATAGATAAGACTAACAACATCAACATTTTAAAAAAATTTAGAGGAAGTCTCTTTTGAAAATCTCCTGGAACTAAACTGACAGTAAACTTAAACCCATAAAAGCATTAACACAGCTTGCAGACTATATTCACGGGTGCCAAAGGGAAAATCAAGGTCTTGTGAATTAGTCATGAGGGAAGAGAATGGAGGGTTTCAGGTCCAAAAACAACCCCTGAGGCCAATTATACTATTTCTAGTAAGTTGGCAATGCTTCAGACCTTTGCTCTAATCTTTATACCTTAGTTTTTGAAACACTGGCATGAGGGAGAGAGGCCACTATTGTCTGATTATAGACATAAACAAACAAAAAAATGCCCTAAGTGTACACATGTAGCAGTCTATTCGACAATTTAAGATGTGACGTAAAAAATTATGT